CCACCAGTGTTGAAAGCCAAGAGAGTCTGTCACATAACCCTGCCTTGGGCCAGCCCATCATGGATGTCCACCAGAGCCCTGGGGCCCAGGCAGAGAGATGCCCACCTTGGCATCTTGCTATCTCCTGACCTGAGGCCTTGAGCCTTATTGATGGCCAGTCACTGCTCCCTAGGGGGGAACCTCACTTGGGCACTGGGTACATTTCAGACATTCACGCTGCCTCAGATGGGCTGGAGAGAGAGGGTGCAGTGGGCCGGGAGTGGTGGGGAGACCATCCTGGGCTGTTGGCCTGGAGTCCCAAGCATCTGGCTCCTGGTTAACCCCACAGAACCCCACAGATCTGACACCATACTCAGATATGAAGGGTGTAGGCCCCAGACTCACAGAGTATGTGTATGTGTCCCCTCAGGGAAGGAATGCAGGGAGACCAAAGTTCTGGAATGGCCCTGCCTCTGAGATCCTGCCTGGTACCTGTCAGGCCTCCAGTGAGGTCTCCTAGGACCTTATCCTGCCCACACAGGCACCAGCCACCCACAGGAAGGTTGTAAATGCCATGCTCACCTAATTTGACAAGGAAGGAATCTGGGGTAGGACGGCAGAAGTGGAATCTGAGTACCTTTCCTCAGACATGAATTGAAATGGTTATCTAAAGTGGAGAGGCCTGGTTGCATTCAGGTAAACATAGTGGTGTGTCCTGGGATCTAGCGGACAACCTTAACTTTAGGGTATGCAATCATATTTTACTAGCTCCAAGATAAAAATGAATAAAATGACATAGTTAAATAGAACTCAAGTAGGATCTATGAATGCTGGAGTGGCGTGGATAAAAGGATAACTTTTCAATGAGGGAATTTACATGCACGGGGAGCAAATACCAGTCCAAGTTTGGTGCATGTTGATAACAGAAAGACAAGCCCCAAATTAAACAAACGTGAATGAATTCCTCTGCCTGCAGACAGAGCAAATATATCAGTAGAAGTCAGTACACAGCAAGAAGCAAAATGTAACAAATCAGAGGGAACAGGCAGCCACAACTTGGGCAGACAAACAAATATTTTAGGAAATACAGACAGGCAAGAGACACATGGCAAAAAATAACTTTGACTGAGTTCCCAAGTCATCTCCATGGCTGAAGTAGAAACAAATATTTTGCGGCATGTCAATGAAAGAGGGGACATGGGAGGTGTTCTGAGGAGCTATCTGAATGACCTGAGGGGCCTCAGTGGGCCTCAGTGGGCAGCATTGTGGCCCTTCTACCCTTGAAGGTCTGTCTCTTATCTGCTTCTTCCTTCAGAGCCACTGGCCCTAGTGACTGGTCCAACATTGGGGGGTGAGCCGCAGCTGAGCCCTGCCACATGCCCAAGCTTGGTCCTGTTGTATCTGCCCCAGTCTCCTAAGCTGGGAAACAGGAGTCCACCCCTTTCTGCAGTGCCAACCTCAATAAGGACAGGCCCCTCAATCTAACTGGGACCCTCTGGCTCTAGGGACCCCCCACTGGCACAGGATAGTTGCGTGGTGCGGGGTGCCCTGCTGAGCGCAGGACCAGCTTTCTAGAGTTTACAGAGCACCTGTGAAATAAGTGACAGCCATATGGGGACTCTGAGGCCGGGCTCTGCAGGCATTCTCTCAGGTGGGAAGCCACAGTCTGGAGGTGAGCGGCCCCCCCAGAAAAACCCTGCACCCCTGCTTCTCATACCCTTTCTCTGCAGCCCCACACCTAGCAGCCCCTGTGCTTTTGCCTCTGTGCTGGGTCACAGGCTTTCTTGAAGCAAATGTTGTCACTTTGAGCTTTTTGCTTTATTCTTTAACATGGAAGCTTTATTGACATACAATTCACATACCATACAATCCTCCCAGTTCCAGGGCATGCATGGCTTCCAGTCCACTCAGAAGACTGAGCAAACATCACCACTCCCCAGTTTCAGTGAGAGTCCAAACCTGAAGAAACTCCATGCTGTTAGTGGTCACCCTCATGTGTCTCATCCACCACTCCCAGCACCCACCTGATGTTCATCCACGTCATAGCACACATCAGTACTTCATTTCTTTTTTATGGCTGAATAGTGCTCCATCGTACAGAAGGATTTAGTTTATCTACCTGCTTGGTGACTCCAGGCCAGCAGCCCGGGATGTCGGGTCATTTGCACACTCTGGCTACAGAACACAGTTGCTGTGAACCAGGGCTTGCTTTGCTCTACTGGGATGCAGAATGGGCATGGTGGTCCCCATTAAGGCAGAAACGGCCAGCCTCTTCATCAAGCTGTCCCCTTGACAAGTGTAGTCCCCTACCAGATTCCAGAGTTCCACAGTCATTGCTTCAGATAGTTCCTCACAGTTTAGTTGTCTTCCAGTGGGCAGACAGGCTCCTGAGCTTCCTGCTCTGCTCTTCTTGGATGTAACTCCCAAACCCTTTGCTTCTGAGCCACAGGTTGTGGAGTAAAAGTTTTACTGTAAGACATGGGTTGATGGACCCAGTGTGACCCTCCCCCACACACGACAGGCCTGAGAACACCCTAAGGACAGTCTTGGGTAGCAGCATTGCTGGAGGCAGACTGGTTCAACACAGATGACCACATGCCAACAGTCACTGTGCCTGTGAGTTTCACCATGGCCTCACTGTGCTCTTTCCAGGTGTATTCTGGCTTAGACTCTGATGTTAGACAACTGTGTGTGTGTGTGTGTGTGTGTGTGTGTATGCTAGCTGGAAAAGCAGAGGAGAAGTCTTGGGCCTTGTCTGCCATTTGTCATGAATGTTAGAGGACAAGTGATATGGTGGTAAGCCAGCGAGCTGGCTGTCACATACACAGTTGCTTTGCCAGAGGTGTGTGTGTTACATGGTGGGCCAACAGCTTTCTCCATCATCAGCTCAGTGACAGATGACACAGCTGCCCCCAATATCAATTCCTCCATTCACTGAATACACATTAAGGTGGCAGTGTAGTTGGGACACAGCCATCAAAGTCACCAGCTGGAGGTGCAAGAAGAGGGGAGGAGAGGGAGTTGCAGCCACTCAGGTGCCTAGGCCAGCCCCATGGGTCAGGGAGGGCCTTCCAGGGGAGGTAGCCACCAAGCTGAGCCTGAGAGCACACGGGGGTACAGGGAGGGATGCAGGCAGGACAGCAGTGTGCATACAGCCGGGGCCCAGAGCTGGGGCCAGCAGAAGGACCAGCACAGGAGAGAGCTCTGGAGAGTGTGGGCAGTGGCCACCAGAAGGAGGGAAGGGAAGACTCTGGTGGCTATAGCCAGATGTCAAGGCTGGCCCATTTCCAACTCACAAAAGTTTCTAAGTTGCAGGAGGGATCCTTGAGTTCTCACCTCTGAGGTTTGACTCACCTTCCCCTTTTGTCTCCAGCTTTTCCTCCCCAATTCCAGCAGGAGGAAGGGGGCAGAAAAACCATGGCTTGGTCAGGAAGCCTCTCTCAATCTGGAACAGTGGTGATGGTGGTAATGTCCCCCAGGGGTACCTGGCAATGTCTACAGATGTTTTGTGTTGTCACAACTGTGTGTGTGTGTGTGTGTGTGTGTGTATGCTAGCATGCTATGGCTGTCTGGCGAGTGAAAGCCAGAGATGCTGATAATTGGGCCTCAAATATCATCACTGCTGAACAGCCAGCCCTACCTGGGGCTTTTCCACCAAGGTGCATGGGGATGGGGTGGGGAAGGGGAGGCCAGGTGGATGAGGTGTTGGGGTGGCACCCACAGTGAGACCACGCATCTGTGCTGGTGCAGGAGTGTCACGGGCAGTGGAGAAGGAGGAGATGTGAGAGGGGTGAGTGAGGGGGAGGGATGTGCCCTGGTGGGCTGTGAGGGCAGGTCCCTCCAACAGGTGACACCTGTGAAGAGTATCTGAGGCAGGGGTGCAGAGTGGAAAAGACCTCAGGAGGAGAGGGAGGCTTGAGGGAAGGGGCAAAACAGACGGCTTCGCTCAGCCCCCCACAGGTAGCACTGAGGGGAAGGGTAATGGAGGAGGTGGAGTAGCCCTGGAGACCTGCAGTGGAGAAGTAGAGAAGGGAACGAAGGCGCTGCACGGATGCCAAGGGACGCCTCTGGGTCTGTGCTTGCCCTATAGGTGAGAGGACAGGAGAAGACCAGCATTGTGCAAGCCCTGAGAGGTGGAAGGGAGGGAGATGATGGTTCCCAAACGACCCTGTAAACAAGAGAAGAGGAACCACCTTCTAGCACTGGATTCTCATCCATCTGGCCTTAGTGGCGCGCCCACGCGGCTCAACCTCAAGGGAGAAACCTAGGTGCGGAGGTGTGCGGTGGTGCTGACTGGTGGGCTCCAGACCCACCTGGCCCGCTTGACCACCTAGGAAGGAGACCTCACACCTGGTTTCGGACCCATATCCCAAGGGGAAGGGGCCTCATATGGGAAAGGCGGGGCTACGGGTGAGTAGTTGAAAGGACAAGGTCTGGGGGGTGGGGACGGGAGCTGCCCGGGCCGCTAAAGCCGGTGGGCGAGGCTTGCCTTCCACGCACTGCTCTGTGCAGCGTGCGGAGCGGCCCCCCCCCCCTCGCCCCCCCGCCCGCCGAGAGAAGGCGCGGCTCGGAGCGCGGGCGGGGCCTCTCTGAAGTAGGCGCGGGTTCTGGGGCGGGGTCTCTTGAAGACTGGGCCCGGGCCCCCCGCCGGAGCAGGCCTGCCGGAAAGAAGGCGCGCGTCCTGGGGCAGAATCTCTCCATTACGGGGGCGCGGCCCTGGGCGGAGGGGCGCGGCTCGCGGGGGGGAGGGCGGGCTTCCAGGAAAGAAAGCGCTGGTCCTGGGTGGGGCCTTCTGAGGAGAGGCACGGGTCCTGGGGCGGAGTGGGGCCTCCCAGACGGAAGGCACGGGTCGTGGGATGGAGTGCGGCCACCGCTGGGAGCGGGGCCTAAGCGCTGAACTGCGCCTACTCTGGGCGCGGCTCGGGCGCGGGGCGGGACCTCCTGCAGGGGGGCGTGACTAGAACAATGGGGCGGGGACTCGGGGCGGGGCCCGGCCAGAGGTCCATACTTATGCGGCCCGGGCGAGCCCAGCGTCCCCGCCATGGCTCTGAAGCATGTCTGGTCATTCTTATGCCCCGGTCTCCCCCGCCTCGCCCCACTGTCCACGGCACCGGCGGCTCGCGAGCAGTCCGCCGCGGGCCCACGGGCTGTGTCGGCATGTGGGGTTGCCGAGACCGTACGGCCGCCGGTGCCCTCTGTGGACTTTGGCAACGCGCAGGAAGCGTACCGCAGCCGGCGTAGTTGGGAGCTGGTGCGCAGCCTGCTGGTGTTGCGCTTGTGCGCCTCGACCACGCTGTTGGCGCGCCACGAGCAGGTGTGCAGTGGGCAGGCGGGGCGGGCGGCAGGGGTCCTCTGTTGGTCGAGGGAGACGTTATGGAGTTTGCAGTTGTTAAGCCGAAGTCTGTTGAGCATCACCTGTAGCTTGGGAGCCAGGAAGGGAGACGTTTTCTGCATTCACTTTCCGACTTCGGGGATTTTCTTGTCAGTTATTGCTGCCAACTACACCAAAAACTGTTTTAAGTTTTAAGGAATATATCATTTGGAGTACAGAATTGTCACCTAGAATTTATAACTTAGTCTTTATTGTTGCCCCTAGAGAAGTATGGGGCATTCAAGGTTTCAGGGCCTGGGACCCCAGAGCTCTGCAGGCGGGGACCCAGCTGCTTACCAGGCAGCTGGTAAGGCACAGCCACTCTGGACAGCGTTGGGGACAGAGGGGAAAACTCTCCAATGGCCAACCTTAAACTTGCACTTGGTAACTTTAAAATATGTGAGGGCTTTACAGGAGTGACAAGCAGAAGACCACAATGTAGGGGAATTAGGTATGTTGAGGTGACCCTGGCAAGAGTTTTCAGGGGTCAAGTTGTTGGCCCTGGAGTCTGGTGCTACTGCTTCCTCAGGTAAGACTGTGCTGACATGCCCCTCTTGGCCACTTGGGAAGTTGTTGGGAAGTCACAGGTTAGTTTGCTGGTGAGAGGTGAGGGCAGAAGTCTGTACACTCAGAATCAGGTTGCTGTGAGACCAGTGGAGGTATTTGTCTGAATCCCAGGGGAGGCTCATTGTTAGCTTTGGAGCCCAGGAGTAGGGAGGCAATGGAAGAAGGGCTGGACTGAGTAGCTGGAGGCCTTTGGGAGGCCAATCTCTGTGTTTGTGCAGATTTTGGAGGTTAAGCCCTGTCTATGGAGAGCCAGACCAAGGGGGCAGGAGGGTGAGAAGAGACATTCCTGGTGAAAGAACCTGTGGGGGGAGGAGAAGGTGATGAGGACCCTCCGGGGAGTACCAGCATCTAGGAAATAGCAGCAGGTCCTGGTGATGTTGCAACAGAGAGGGTGACGCATCAGGGGCAGAAATGCTAGGGGAGGGAACAACCAATGCTAGGACCTCTGTGGAGGGCAAGGACAGGTGCATTGGGTGGCTGCCAGGTGGGACGAGGCCAGCAGAGCAGGAGCCATGCCTACCCTGTGGCTTCCTAGGAGGGAAAGAGGGTGAGAAACCAGGCCAAACCTCTCTAGGCTAAGTGCTGAGCTTTCTTACCCAGATTCAAAACTAGCCATCTCACTGAGTAGCCAGCAGAGCTGAGGCATGGGGTTTGGTATCCAGCTTGCTGGGGGAAGTGAGTCCCAGCACCTTGATGCTAACCATGAGAAGGATGTGTTGGCTCCACTGCCATTGGGGTGCCTGCCTGGCATGTGCTGGGGGTCAGGGAGGGTACTGTGGGTACCTGGAAGAGATAGAGCATCCTGTGACAACCTTTTTCAGACTCCCCTCGGGTCCAGCCTGTGCCCTGGGAACCCCTTTGTAGAGTCTGTGCTGTTTTCATTGCTGGTGGCCCCACAGGTGTTAGTGGCCTCAGCACCTTGTGCTAGAAGCATCTGGCCTGGTCAGGCTGTGAGCATGTGAGCTGCTCACCAGAATCTGGTTCTGGGGGCAGCCTCCCTCACCCTACAGCAAAAAATTTGACCTACAGCAAAAAATTCCTCCACAAACAGGGTTTGTGAGGCTGTGGCTGGGAAAGTCTGGGCTGTCAAACCTGCCTGGAGGAGTGTCAGGCTATGGGTACTGAGGTTTGAGCTGCAGCTTTGGATGGGGACTATGAGGGACTCTGTTGGGGCCTGTACTTGCCTGAAAGCAGGCCTTCTTAAGGAGGTTCCAGGAAGTCCAGACTTTCCCTGACAGCAGTGCTATGCTTGGGTGTGAGGTGTGGCAGAAGAGGGGACAAGAGCAAGGGGTATAGTGGCTCCCTGGGGGGCAAAAGGGAGGAAGAACAGGATCCAGGGTCAGTGTGTCTCTGTACATGTGAGTCATGGTAGAAACAGGTGAAAGACTCACATGCAGATACAAGTTCTTGCATCCTCAAAAGGTCTCCATGGGGAGAACAGGTGGGGCTTCTTTTTTCAGTGGTGTCTTGCTGGAACACACGACACCAGGATGGTTTTACACTTTGGAGCCTGCTTTAAAATTACCAGCCAGATCATCTGCTTCTGCAGCCTTGTGCCAGGAGCTTCCAAGCATGGCCCCTCCAGGTCCTACCTGTCCTGACTTTGGAATAAAGTGTTCTTGGAGCCAGTGCAGCCTGGCTGCTGCCCCTTCGTTGAGCATTGGCTGTGGCGGGGGGAGCAGTTAGTTACCTAGTGATGGCCTAGTTCTGTACAGAAAGTTCACTGGTCCCTGCTGCAGGCATTCATATCCTTGTGGTATGTTTCTGATGGCGTCGTTAGTGCTGGTGTGGATGAGGTCAAGAGCTCTTTTCTAGAGCTGAATGATGGTTTTCAGGTCCCCATTTCTGCCCCACCTGCCGCTTGGATGGCCTTTGATATATCTAAGACCCATGTTTTCCTGGGTTCTGCCTGGCAGGGAAAAGGCTGCTCAGTGAGACCTGGAGGCCTGCCTGTGTCCCCAGTATTGGCATGCTTACTTGCCAGTTTCTAATTCTCTTTATGGAAGAACAAAATTCAATACAGTCAGATGCTGGGCAGAGGCTGCCTGGGAAACCCTGGTCCCTGGGGCTTCCAGGTGCTACACAGAAGGGCAGCTGAGAGGCACTTCCACTTAACTGCCTCTGTGCAGTTAAGGAAGAAGGCAGCAGGCCACACGTGCCTATGGGCCAGCTCAGGGTTGCTGGGGACTAGCTTGTGGAGAAAGGTGTTTGACTTGCTGATGCTTTGGCTTAGACTAGAAGTTGTTCCTAAAACCCTGGTCCCAAGAGATGCTCTCTATGACAAAGTGGTTCTGGTATCCATCGGACTTGAGAAACCCTAGGTTCTTCCTGTCTTGTGGCCGAGTGGCGGGGGGTGGGGGCAGTGAACATGGGGGCTTTCACACAGGGTGGTGTGTGCTTCAAGCATGATGTGTGGCCATCCCAGCCCCTCAGACTCCTGCTGTCACCATTTTTTCTGTCTGGCTGCACCTCCCCACAAAGCTCCTCAGTTTAGCCTATCCCTCCTCAACTTGTGGGCTTTCTTCCCCCCTCCCCTTTCTGAGTCATGTGAAGATGCTCCTGTTTGGGACACCTCCTGCAGGGTGTGAGCTCCTGATTGGTTTCCTCTAGTTGTTTCCGGTCATGAGGACTGCTCCTGGCAGCAGCAGCTCTGGACACTTGAATGAACCATGTTGTGAAGTGATTGGGGGAAAGAGCTGGGTGATTTCTGGGCAGTGTCTTCCTCAGGGGCATATCCATCCATGTGGCTGGCCAGCCCTGGAGGACCTGCCACACCCCCACTGGCCCTGAGGTGGGCAGTCATCTCATAGGCCTATGCAGACCTGGATAGTTCCTGGATTCACAGTTCCTGGATTCACAGTTCTCAGCTGGGCCCACCGCACTCCCACTGAGCTCGCACTCAGACCAGGTTTTATGTGTGTTCCTTGTTTAGCATTAGCAAGCCATTTGAGGGCTGGCCTCATGCCAGCCTCACTGTTTTAGGGACTTGGAATAAGACTGAACCAAATACTGAAAAATCTGGGAACTTGAATTCTGGAAAGTCTCGTCAGATCTGCCTTCTTCCCAGTGGAATTGCTGAAGTGCAGTTACAGAGAATGTTTGGAAAACACCCAGTGCTGACCCCAGGGAGTCTCTTTACTCACCAAGCAGTGGTCAGGAAGAAGCCCTGTGTATGGTGAGGACATCCCGTGAGCGGGCCCTGTGGGGGTGGCACTTAGGCCAGAACAATGTGCTCGAGGTGTCAGGGATGGAGCCCTGCTCTGGGTGGAGGCTAACGTGGTTGATGCTGTGGTGTGTGCAGAAGCCAGCTGCTTTGGTGGCCTTTGCCAAAAAGTTGACGGTGTGAGCTGAGTCTGCCCCAGGAGACCATGTTGAGGCCCTGTGGTTGGAGTGAAGTATTGGGGTCAGGGAAAGCCTGAGTATCCCATGGGGAGGGGGAGGCCAGGGCAGCCCTGGATAACTGTTTCGCTGTGTCTTTCAGCTACTCCACATCACCAGGAAACTCCTGGGGCAAAGGCTGTTTGATAAGCTCATGAAGATGACCTTCTATGGGCAGTTTGTGGCTGGTGAGGACCAAGAATCTATCCGGCCCTTGATCCAGCACAACAGGGCTTTCGGTGTCGGCTCCATCCTGGACTATGGCGTGGAGGAGGATCTGAGCACCGAGGAGGCCCAGTGCAAGGAGATGGAGTAAGGCATGCCCCAAGGCTACAGGCATGGTGGTGGTGACCCCAAATCACCCCAGGGCTGTTGAGGGTTGATGGTGCCATGTCCACTGCTGGGCTTCAGCCTGGGCTGGGCTGAGGTGAAGGTGGGGAGAGTATGGTCAGCCCCTTGCTGATGGCTCTCTTGGCTTCTGCCTGAGTTCCTGCATTGTCATCATGCCTGTGACAGCTCTGGGCTCTCAGGTGTGCTTGAGGCCTGAGCAGGGATGAGGGTTGGGATCAGGCAAACTGCAGTCCCCAGCTTTGTCCAACCCCCCACCTGGTTTGCAGGCTGAGAATGGTTTTCCCAATTTCAAATGGTTGAAAGAAATCAAAACAGAAGTACTATTTTGTGGCACATGAAAATTGTGTGAAGTTCAGTTTGGTAGGAGCAGAGTTGAGTAGTTGTGGCAGAGGAGCTGAGAACAAGTGAAAGGTGGCTGCCCACACAGATGTTTGCCACCCCCTATAGGAGGCCACTGTGGCTCCCTCCTCTGTCCTCCCTCTCTGCTGGAGGGATTCCTTACCATAGGCGGAACTGCCCAGACTTGCCAGGCCCAGGCTGCCCTGAGATAGTTTCCTCCTTGCAGATGGGCCTGGAGCCTCCCAGGCTCCACCCCTGCCTGGGTGTTCATGGAGAAGGGAGGTGCACTCAGGAGCAGATAGGCCTGAGTCTCCTCCCAAGGTCATCAACCTGTTGCTGGGCGCCTTTCTTGGGTGGTGCGTGTAGGTAGGATAGGGGCCAGCTCCTTTCAGCAGGAGAGAATGACAGGCTGATGCTAGACAGGATAGCACTTTCTTTGGGAAGTGTCTGTGCTGGTGCCTGTTTGCCTCTAGGCCAGGCCGTCACTGGGATTTGGTGCCCTGACAGCAGCTGGGCCAGATGCAGGTGAAGCTTGGGGTACCTCATGGTGGACCCTGTCAGGCTTGGTATTTACTCTGCCCCTCCCAGCTGGCTGGCCTGGGTGTGGAGGGAAAAGTAGTCACATGAGGCCTCCAGCCCTGGGGACAGAATGTCCCTGCTTCTTACTAAAGCAGGCCAGCAAGGGAGGATTGGGCAGAGGGGCCTGCCCTGTGATTGGCTATTTTGAAGGCGGAGTGCCCCAGCCTGAGGACCCCCATGTTCCTAGCAGGGCTCCTGTTGAATAACTAATGGGCTGTGTGTATTCAGCTGAGTGCTTGTTGGTTTCACAATGGGGTTTTCACTTTCAGAAGAGATTCCTTTCCCAGGGCCCTGCCTCGCTTCCTTGCTGCCTCACAGGGAAGTTTAGAGGTGGGCCAGCCTGCACCCTGACAGGGACCTGCCCTCATCTACCTCCCCCACTCCCCCCCCACCATGTGCCTTTGGGAGCCTGAGTCCTTTGCCTGGCCAAGGCTGTGCCTCCCCAGGCTACTCTGCTGCTGGCAGATGCAGTCTACAGGAGCACTACTGGGGTTATGAGACAGGCGTGGCCATCCGTTCCCATCTGCCTAGACCCTGAGGGCAGAGCTGGGCTTGCAAGTGTGGGTTCCATGTCCACACTGGTGGGGCTCACCTGGCTCACTGGTGGAACCAGCCATACAGACCCCAGTGTGGGGATCTGCTTCAAGTGTCCTTGGTGAGGCCCAGAGATCCATCTCCCTCATCATGTTTCTATCCCAAGGTCTACAGAGTTGACTTTAGGAAAAGCAGCAGAGGCTATCACCCCAAATTAAGGCCACTGGGGGATGCCAGGCCCGTGAGCAGCACAGGAAGGATAGAGGTATCTGAGCGTCTGGCCAAGGGAGGAGGAAGTGACAGGAGGCTGTCAGGTGTGCTACCCTGGAGGAGGGGTGGGCTGTGCTTGCCAGAGGTCTGTGAGAATGCAGAGGTCAGGGCCTGGCCATAGCCCAGGAGAGGAGGCCCATGGAGCAAGGGGCCAGGGTGTCTTCCTGATAGTGATGTTGTAAGGGTTCCCTGGGTGGCTTAGACAGCAGGTGTCTGGCTGTGCAAGTCCAGGACTGGCTGGAGGGGCCTGGTCCCTGGTCGCCAGGGTGGCCAGCAGCCTGCCTGGAATGTGTGCAGTATCGGACCTTGAGTGAGGGGATGGGGAGGCAGGGGAGGTTCCCCTCAGTCCCATTTGTTTCAAGCAGGCACCAGGCCACAGGCTGCCCAGAGGGACCCCCCAACCCCATTGCACTGTTTCCTCCCCTGTCCCAGCAGCCTCTGTGTGAGGTGTCTGCACACCTGTGCCATTCTATGCACTGTGTTCTGGTCATCTGGTCAAGGCAGCATTGGGGGGGCGGCTGGGGGAGCATCAGAATGTGGTACTCATCCCTGCTCAGGGCCCCAGTGTGACCATTCATCCTTCCACCTCTAGAATCCTGTGCTCACCCATGTCAAATGCCGCAACTTCCCTGTGAAGGCTGCACCCGGATCCGGCAACATCCTGCGTGTGGAAGGCCAGGTGTCTTTACCTGTCCCAGCTATGCACAGGGTGCAGGCTCTACTCCTACCCTCCATGGGAACATGACCCTGGGCCTGCCTGGGAACAGCCTCATGACTCACCAGCTAGACCTAGTGGGATTGTGGCCCTGTCCCTGCAGATGTTGGGCAGTTAGCTCGACTACTCTGCTTGCCTGTTTCTAAAACCTAGGAGGTTTCACGTGGCTGAGCATGTGGGAGCAAGAAAGGGAGTGGCTCCGCTTCTGGCCTACAAGGGTGGATGGATGAGCCAGCTATGGAAATGCTGAGGGCTTCTAAGATGACCTGTGCCCTGGAAGGTGGTTGGCCTCTTATAGGCAGTTGCCTATGTATAGGCGAAATGCCTATATGCCTCTGGCCAAAAATGCCATTTGAGAGAGAGCAGTGAAAAGACTTTGTGCAGGCATACTTGTGAGAAACTGAGGCAGAATTCCATGTGGCCAGGTTAGTTGCAGGCCTAACATGAGCGGGGCTTTGGCTGGAATAGCATTTCCAGACTGCATTAAGGAATTAAGGGTTGATTTTATAAGGCCAACGAAAAAGCCCTTTGGAAAACTGGCCAGATACCCATCAGTAACCTTTCCTGATCTGTGGTAAGTGACGAAAGTCACTTGCTGACGGGTCCAGGAATGGAAATGTGCTAGGGGACCTCAAGAGAAGAGGAATTTACCCAAAGCATACAGGTATCTAATGGCACAGATAAAACCTGGGCTCATGAAAGGCTTTTGAGAATTCAAGTCTGAAAATTCCTTATAAAAGGTTCCAGCAAACCCCCTCTGACTTAAGACCTACATGGGAGCAGAGGTTTCCCAAGAAGTTTCTCTATGCTTTGCTTAAAGATTCGAAGTAATGGCCTCCAAATGGCATGGTCAATAGAACAGACATTTAAATCCTCTCTTTCCCTGGTAGCCTCAGGCTTCATCAGATAAGAACAAAGAAAGTAATGACTGACATGTTCTTCATTAAGTTATATTAAACTGGGTTATATTGAAAGGGTTATGCTTAAAGGTGTATGTTGGGTGGATTATCAGATTACTAGTGAGGAGCTACTTACAGGGCGAGTGGTCATAAGATGTTTAAATGGATTAATGGCGTCATTGATGTCCAATGCACATGTGCAGAGGGATTGCACATGCGCAAGATTGACTATATAAACCAACAGTGAATAAAGAAAGCTTGCCGTTTTGCCTGAGCGAGCAGATGGTCACCTTTATTTAAAACACAATTTTAATAAGCATGCTTATTCTCCACAACATCACTTTTCTGCGAGACCCTTACAGCAACACCTGTGTTGTCTGAAATGTGGGCTGGGAGGTTTCAGGGTCAAGCCTTCCCCTAGGGTCTTGCAGGTCCTGAGACCTATATCTGCTATCCTTGCCATGTGGGTTTCTGCTCCAGGAAGCATCTGGGTGCCTCCCTGCCTTAGTTTGGACAGTGGGTCCCTCCTGGGATGGCTTTTGCTTGGTTGTACCTGGCCTTGGCTTAGGGCCTGAAGCTGGCCCTGTGACTGGTCTCATGGTTCCAAGCTAGGGAACTTGGGAGGGCCCAGGGAGCTCCCTCATGGGATGCAGGTCACACAGGGCTTGCCTCCTCTCTTGCCACACAGTGATGGGTCACCAGCCGTCTGCTGGTTCCTGTCCGCAGTGGCTGGGTGGGTTGGGCCTTGTGGATGTGGTAGCAGTTGGGAAGCCAGTATAGGCCATGCTTGGTTGCAAGACTTTTGGGGTCCTGACTGGTGCCTGGCTCAGAGTCCCCAGCTAAGGGACCTGAGGTTGCCTAGGAGCTGAACAGGGAGAGAGGCCTTCCTGGCAGTGGCTCAGTAGCCTAGGACTTGCTCCGAGAGCTATGAGGTCAAAAAGCAGCAGCCAGCACCCCTGATGCTGAGGCTTCCAACGCCAAGTTCATTCATCACTGCCCTTCCTGTCAGAGTCTGAGGCTCTGGCCTCTGCTGGCCAGGTAGCTGAGTTCTCTCTGTGGTAACCAACTTAGTAAGGCTTTCAATGCAAAATCACACAAAGTATAAAGCTGCTGGAGGTGTCAGGGTTGGAGGAGCTGCCCCTTCTTTTGAATAGACTTCATGGCCACAGCTCTGTCCCAAATGGCACGGCTCCCAAACTAAGCCCAGGAAGATATCTGCCTCTGTGAGGAGGAGGATGGTATCTGCTGTGGCTCTGGCTGGGGTGCAGGGGTGGTAGAGGGTCGGGGTGTGGGCAGGCACTCTGGAGGAAAGCTATAGCAGCCTGGACTGATGGCAGAGCCTGGCCTCACCAACGTGTCCTTATGAGGACTTGGGCTACGCCTGGGGCATGATGGGAACCCAGTGAAGGGTTTAAACCAGATAAGAGGGTGAGATGTGATCTGTATTTTAAAAGAATGTTTCTGGTTACTGCTTGGAAAATTGGCCTCAGGGGCCAGAATACAAGAGGGGGCTGCCTGGAGGGCAGGACTGGGCTGACCTTAGCAGTGGGGGCAGGTGTCATCAGAGAGCAAGGAGCCTCCTGCTGGATTTTGGAGGTCTTCCTAGCTCCAATGGGTTCTGTGTCTTCATCTTTTCCTTGGAATATCTGTTGCATGCCCTGGGCTGGTAGGGAGGGACTACACCCATGAGGACCCCAGGCTTTCTGAGGACTTCCTCAGGAGCCCTGTAAACTGCTGCCCTTTTTGCTCAGGTGGTTCTGCCTCAGGCCTGGGTAGGGTTGTGCCTTGGAGCCAGCTGTCCATGGCCAGAATGGGAATGTGCTTATCAACTGCAGCCCAGATGCTATGACCCTAACCTTTGCTCTCTCCCTTCTGACAGGTCCTGTACCTCAGCGGCAGAGAGGGATGGCAGTGGTGAGTGTCAGGAATAGTGTGCTCCCTGGTGCACACCCTGGGAGTCAAGCACAAGCAGGCCCTGCAGCCCTGGGCTCTGATATGCCTATGGCACCTGGTGAAGGATGCTCTCTGCCTTCTTCTGGTACTCCTGGTGGAACAGGCCTCTAATGAGGCTTTGCCCTCCTGGCTCCAGTCTTAGCCACGGTGTCTGGAGTTTAGATAGGGAGATGGAGGCGGGAACAGGAAGAAGGGCAGGCTGGGCAGGGGACCCAGGGGTGTTGGTGCCAGGAGGGGTGTGGAGACTGCAGTGCAGAGCTTGTGTCTGGGCCCAGGATGTGTGCACCTTCCCAGGGACAAGTAAGAGGAAGAAGCAGTACCAGGCTCACTGGGCCTTCGGAGACCGCAGGGATGGTGTCATTAGTGCCCGCACCTATTTCTATGCCAACGAGGCCAAATGTGACAGCCACCTGGAGACTTTCCTGCGCTGCATCGAGGCCTCAGGTGAGGCCCCCTCCTGGCTGGCAGACCCCTGGACTCATGGGGATACTGGTGGATGCATACCAGGCTTTGCTCAGTGACGGGGGTGAGCTCTGGTCATACTGGGTGGTGCTGGTCTATCTCCTTCCTGAGGGGCCTGGCTGCTTCCAAAGGTGCCTCCTGCCTCACCCTATGCTCTTTCTCCTGGATTCCATGCCAGGATGGAGCTATAGGAAGTTGGCCTGTGTCAGCTAGCTGAGCTGCCCATAGTCCCCAGGGTTGAATTTCCCTTCAGGGAGCTGGTGCCCTGTCCTCTAACAGGGAATCCCTCCCTGGCATAGCCTCTGGGGGCCCCTTGGGTTGGGGGAGCAGCTGCTGCAGCTGACAAGTGAAGGCCAAGCTCCCTGAAGCCTAGTGTCCTCTGTCAGAAGCACACCAGTCCCTGTACAGCCTGTTCCAGTCCAGCAGCCCTCCCATGAGAGGCAGTGGGTCCCATGCCTTCTGAATGGTTTAGGTTTCTAACTGGGCTGGAGGTCCTGAGTGGCCATCAAGGGCCACTTGAAGCTCTTGTCAGAGCTTCAGTGTGAGGGGTGTCTTCTCCTGGCCACTGCCTTCTTTTCCGGGGGGTAGACAGAGGGGAGGACCACCAGAAGCAAGTGTTCTTGCCTGCGCTCTGCTTAGCACCTCTCAGTCCTGTACCCCCACCCAGGGGGCTGCCTGTGGTGCTCCTGGCACAGGGAAAGAAACTGAGGCAGGGAGCCGGTTGGGGCTACTTGGCATTGGCAGGCAATTCTTCGAGCGAACTATGGCAACTACGGCAAACAAAACTTGCCCCTTCCCACCCCTAGGGGCCTCAGGAATGGCGTGAGGCCTTCACATCTGCCCTGTCTAGGCTCCTGCCCTTCCTCACCTACCCTATGCCCCCTCCTGTGGCTTCTGACAGGCTGCGCCTGTGAGGACGGTTTCTCAGCCATTAAGCTCACTGCGTTGGGGAGACCCCAGTTTCTGGTAAGTGCTAGAAGCTTCCACCTGCTGAAGCTGGTGCTTTGCAAGCACAGGTGCAGATGCTGTGGAGGCTTGAGCCAGGTGCGGGTGCTGTGTAGGGCTGGGCTGGCAGTGGGTGTGCACCCCAGAAGGCTTTCAGGCCTGTGTTTGCAGCTGCAGTTCTCAGATGTGCTGACCAAGTGGAGACGCTTCTTTCACCAAATGGCTGCAGAGCAAGGGCAGGCAGGGCTGGCTGCCAAGGACATGAAGCTGGAGGTGGCTGCCCTGCAGGTGAGGCAACCTTCCCCTCCCTGGAGGCTGTCGATGGGCACCCAGAGGAAGTGGCAAAACAGTGGTGCTAGGAGGTTTCTGGCCCTTTTGCAGGGCTGGGTTTGTGGCTCACTGCACCATTGCTGGAGTTGTCTGGGAGGAGGGGGAGGTTTGAGGGACTCTGGACAGGACTTGAGGCCGAATACAGATGGGAGGAGGTGTAGCATCTCCCACCTCCAGCAGCAGGGGAAAGGGGAAAGCACAGGGAGCTGGCCCTGTAGGGAGCAGGGAGTTTGGAGCTGTAGAGAAGGGCCTCACATGAGCACATGGGCAGGAATAGACCTGTCTGTGTCACAGAAATGAAGCCAGAAGGGGGTTCTGCTGTCCTTAACAGTACTAGATACACAGCACTATGAGCAAGTGTTGGGGGATGGGTGATGAAACGTGAGTGGATGGGGCTGACCCAGGCCTTCTCACTCATCAAGGAAAGCATCGCCAAGATGGGCATAGCGCCCAGGGCAGAGATCCAGGACTGGTTCACAGTGGAGACTCTAGGCGTGTCTGGGTGAGAATAGCCCCCTGGCCAAGAAGGGAGCATCTGGTTCAGTCAGGGTTCCAGCCGAGCTCCAGCAGCATCTCCCCATCTGGCTGCCTCCCTGGGAGGGTGGGCCTCACTGATGAATGTGCTGAAGGAACTATTCCCCTGAGACACACAGAGCAGGACTTGACAGCATGCCAGGAGTCCCTGGGTTGGGTTGGGCTGGGGCTGGGCAGCATGGATGCCAGGCCAGCCCTGACGCCACAGAGGATTTCTTATGGGATTACGTGGGTCCTAGAGCAAGGGTGTCATGCCTCATCTTCCCTGGGGCAGGTGAAGGATCAGAGCCCCTCCCTTCATCCTCAGGGCCAGAGACTGGGACCAAGGTCACCAGGGGCCCATAGTTGAATAGGGAGCCATCCCCTCACCTGTGGGCTGCTGTCCTGCCCCTCAGAGGCCATGTGTGGTCTCTGCTGGGCTCCCTTCTGAACTCCACTGGCCCAGGTTGCCTAATGTGTCCAACATTTTTACTGTCATCTAGATGCAGGAACATTTGTGTTCTGGTTATAATTCTTTTAAAGGGAGAACAATGATTACATTTTCTCTCTTAAAAACAACACTGAGGTGGTTTTTGTGGTGGTTTGGTTTAGAGTGCTCTTTTGGGGAATGGGCTGGTTTGGGCCTAGGTCCCCTGACTCATCCTAATGCTCAGGGTAGAGCTGCCTACTTCCTCTCTGCTGACATGTCTTGTCCTCCAGCACTGTGGACTTGCTGGACTGGAGTAGCCTCATCGACAGCAGGACCAAGCTCTCCCAGCACCTGGTGGTCCCCAACACACAGGTAACGTGTTCCCTCACTGACCCAGCTCAACAGAGCACTGGGCTGAGGTGAGAATTCACCTTGCCATGTGTGTCTCCTGTGGTCCACATTGGGGACTCAGCATGACCAAGACCATGGGCCCCTCAGACACTCCCATGGCCCAGGAGAAAGAAGACAAACCCACTAGTGTCCACAGAGTGCTTGGTGGGACAGAGACCCACATGTGGCTTTGCACCATGAGGAGAGAGTGTCTGGGGACCATCCCTGAATCATCTATCCTGTGTGTGTGTGTTGGGTCTCCTCAAATCTCAGAGGCTAGTTTATTTTCCCCTTATGATTCTAGGGTTGGTACGATTTGGCCGGACAATTCTTGCTCAGTTTCTCCTAGGCAGCTGTACTCAGAGGTTGGCAGGGCTGGGGTCCTCCCTGAAGTACCCTAATGGCATATCAGAATGTTGGTTCTGGTTGCTGGTGTGGGCTTCCTGCCAACATGGCAGCTGAGTTCTAAGGGCAAGTGTCCTCTGAGATGACAGCCAGGCAGAAGCTGGTTACTTTGTCCAGTGTCACCTCAAAAGTCATGTGGTGTCACTTCTGCTGAAGTGCATGTCTTAGAAGTGAGTTGCTGGGCCAGCCTGTATTCAGGGGGGAGAGGAGCCTGCTCCTAGGAGGGTGCCTGGGAATCATGGGCTGTTTGAAACTACCACCTGGGTGGGATCTTAAGAATCACTTTCAGAAAATGTTGTGCAAATGCAGCTTTCCATGACACCCTCAGTCCCAACCAACTAAGGCTCAGCTCGAATTTTGAGCCACTAACCCAGGGGTACAGCCCTGCTGCAGGGCCACCAGCTATTGGACACTTCAGCATGTGTGTGGCTAAGAGGGATACCATCTGTACTCAAGGCTGCTGGGGCTAGCATGGGGCTGCAGAAGGCCCTGATGCTTCCTGGGCCCTGCAGGGTGGGTGCCTGCCACCCTGAGCCCCCAGCTTCTTGAAAGCATTGTCCTGGAGGGTGTCTTGGCCCCTCACATGTGTCAGTAAATGCTGCATGGCCGTTCTTCCGGCCCATAGCCACAGGTTCTTTCTGCTCCGAGCTAAGCCCTTCTGGTTGGACTGAGTGATCAGTGTTTACTTCCTTAGTGTTCTGCAGAAGCCAAAGGGATCCTCCCCATGGTGGTGGGGCTTCTTAGGGATCTGGGGAGATTATGGGAGCACATGTTTTGGGGCTCAGTCCTGGCGTGGGCACCAAGATCCCTCCTGGTGCTGCCAGGCCCTGTGCATAGGGCAGTGTGCTGCCTGGCTGTGGGGTGTCAGGTTACCAGGTCACTATGTCCAGCCAGCATGGGGCAGGGCGCTGGCCTTCATGTGCAGACAGTGGTGGTGAGGAGGCCTGGCTGAATCTGGGGCCACTCTGTATGGAGGGTGCAAGGGTACCTGTGGGCTGGGGTGGCACTGTTGAGAGAGGTGTAGCATGGGCCTCAGTGTGGGGCCTCCCAGCACTTGCTGTGCCCCGACCATGTGCTGTACCCTCAGACAGGACAGCTGGAGCCCCTGTTGTCTCAGTTCACTGAGGAGGAGGAGCTACAGATGACAAGGATGCTGCAGCGGATAGATGTGCTGGCCAAGGTGAGCCAGCCCTGCATGGTGGGAGGCTGGGGCCTGAGGGCCCTGGGATTTGTACAGAGGGGAGGGTGCCTGCTTTGCTCGAACCACAAACACACCCCTGCACCTCTCAGAAAGCCAGGGAGATGGGTGTGCGGCTGATGGTGGATGCCGAGCAGACCTACTTCCAGCCAGCTATCAGCCACCTGACACTGGAAATGCAGCGCAAGTTCAATGTGGACAGGCCACTTATCTTCAACACGTATCAGTGCTACCTCAAGGTCAGCCTGCCCTCCCTTCTGTGGCTGGCTCAGCCCTTCTGTGTGCAGGGGTGGGGGTGCCCTTGTCCAGTCTGTCTGCCTAGGCTGGGGGATGAATGAGAAGGGAGTGGGCCTTCCCTAGGGTCCTCTGCAGCAGAGGTGGCCTTGGTAGGGCCCTTGTGGGGCCCTGGTATCCAGGAAGGAGGCCCCTGCCCAGCACCTGTGTCTTACCTCCTTGGAGCCAAGAGCAGGTAGGGAATGGGAGGAAGACAAAGGAGCTTTTAAAGGTCCACTTGACATGCCTGGCACTCCATACTTGAAGGCTTCGTCACCGTTTCCTCCAGCTTGGGTTTAGGTCAGAACCCTCTAAGAGGGTGGCGCCTGTGGCTCAGTGGGTAGGGTGCCGGCCCTGTATACTGAAGGTGGTGGGTTCAAACCTGGCCTCAGCCAAACTGCAACAAAAAAATAGCTGGGCGTTGTGGTGGGTGCCTGTAATCCCAGCTACTCAGGAAGCTGAGGCAAGAGAATCACCTAAGCCCAGGAGCTAGAGGTTGCTGTGAGCTGTGACAACATGGCACTCTACTGAGGGTGATAAAGTGAGACTCCGTCTCTATAAAAAAAACCCAAAATAAAAAGCAACCCTCTAAGAATTTAATGAAGGTTCTAGGGCTTTCCCCAGGAGACACACCCAGGATTCTGCATGTCCTCATGGAGCCCAGGTGGGTTTCAACCTGAGGGCACTGAGCTGCCACCATCCCGAGCTCTGAGGATCAGTCAGATGCCCCCCTGGGGGGGGCAGTCCAGGCAGGTGGGCCGGGCATGTACCCTGTCCCAGTCAGCCCAAGAATCTGGAGCATACAGTGATGGCTGGTATCTGGGTCACCTGCCCCTTGGGCCACCACCTCCCAACTGGCCTGGCCCTCCCTGACAAGGCCATCCCCCTAGAGGGCTGCCCCCCACACAGGGCTGCCCCCTCACAGGGCTGTCCTCCCCCTCACACAGCTTCCTCTGAACAGGGCTGCCTCCACGTAGGGCTGTCCTCCCCCACAGGGCCATGCCATACAGGGGTATCCCTAGGCCATACAGGAGGCTACAGAGGATCCCACTCTTACTGCTCCTTAAGGATAGAGGTCAGAGGCCCATCCTCACCCACATATGCTCTAGCTCCTGAGCCACACATCCTCTAGATGGCTGCTGCCCAGGCCCAAGTGTCCCTAGTTGTGACTATGCCTGGGAGTACATGGCTCCAGGAAGGCCCCCTCCTGCTGTCACCCTGGCTCAGCAGGGTCCCTGCGAATTTTGACCCTGGCCCCACAGGATGCCTATGACAATGTGACTTTGGACATGGAGCTGGCTCACCGAGAGGGCTGGTGTTTTGGGGCCAAGCTGGTACGGGGGGCATACATGGCCCAGGAGCGCGCCCGTGCAGCAGAGATTGGCTATGAAGACCCCATCAACTCCACGTACGAGGCCACCAACACCATGTATCACAGGTGTGTGGCCCTCCTGCCCCAGGCTTCCAGAGCAGGGCATGAGGGACAGGCTGAGGGAGGGCCTCAGGGGTGTGCTGTTGACCTGACCCTCTGGGCCAGAAACCTCCAGCAGGCCTGGGAGCTGTGTGCATTGAGGCCAGGACTGATAGTTCTACTGCTTTTGTGTCAAATTTTTCACATCACTAAGGTTTTTCTTTCTTAAATATAGGAAACGCTACTGAACAAAACTGGCCACAGTCCCCTGGCATTTAAATAGTGAGAGACGTGCTTGGGCACCTGGCCCCACACACCACGGCCAGCTTGTTTCCTTTTCAATTCATGTGGTGTATCAGCTGTTCTGTACCTGCTTTTATTGCTCTAGTATCTGGGAGATCTTTCTATGAGGCACAGGCAGACCGACCCTGAGCTTTTTTCTCTCAGAGGTGTGTATGCGTGTTGTAAAACCAGAGACCCCTGGCGTCCCTTGCTGGCTCCATCTCCCTCTCCACAGCCCACCCTGCATACCTGTGCCACCTGCACATGCCGGCCCCATCATGCGCATGGTGTGCACCCTATCCTCTGCCCCTTGTATTATTTATTTAACCCTCTGTCTGGATCCCCATGATGCTCTTTTTTTTTTGGTGAGACAGCCTCAAGCTGCCACCCTGGGTAGAGTGCTGTGGCATCACAGCTCACAGCTCACAGCAACCTCCAACTCCTGGGCTCAAGCGAGTCTCCTGCCTCTGCCTCCCAAGTAGCTGGGACTATAGGCGCCCGCCACAATGCCCGGCTATTTTTTGGTTGCAGCCATCATTGTTTGGCGGGCCCGGGTTGGATTCGAACCTGCCAGCTCAGGTGTATGTGGCTGGCACCTTAGCTGCTTGAGCCATAGGCGCTGAGCCCCCCAAGATGCTCTTAACAGCCAGAATGGGGCGTCTGGGGCTTGAGGGATCTTTGGTTTTTCAGCCTAGTTATTATAACAAGGACTCACTAGCACCGTGTTCTCCTCTGTCACACACGTGCTGTCAGGGCTTCTCTGTGTCTGAGGACACAGCTCTCGCACACTCCTGGAAATGGAACTTCCAGGGAGAGATGATGTCCCTGATGCATGAGGGAGGGTGGTACTGCTCAATCTCCCTGGGGTGCAAGGATGCCACCCCTCCAGGCCTCTGGGGACCTGCCTTCCTGTGTTTTCTCATGGTTCCAGGGGTGACTGCAGGAGCCCTTTCCACATTTGGAGCTGCATGTCAGGAACACGGGCAGGTCCGGGCTGGGCCCCATTGGGCCCTGTAGTCACAACACCGTTTGATACAGAAACATTGTAACCTGGCTCGACTCTCTCCCTGAACCACCCACTCCCAGATGATGCTAGGTTGTTTTTGTTGGTGGCTTTTTTTCATGAAGGACAGAGGAGGGGGTGGACGCTGCTCTTGTCTCTCCTGAAACTGTGGGTAGCTGAGGTGGGAGCCAGTTCGCTGGACAGGCCTAGAGCCCACCTGAGGCCTCCCACCCCATGGGGCCAGCAGCAAGGGGCCAGGCTTACATGGCGCTGCTTGCAGGTGCCTGGACTACGTGCTACAGGAGCTTAAGCACAATGCCAAGGCCCAGGTGATGGTGGCCTCCCACAATGAGGACACCATACGCTTCACGCTGTGCAGGTAGGGTGCCTGTGCTGGTGGGGTCTCTGGCTGTGGGCAGTCTGAGGCAGCCCAGGGTAGGCAGTGATGGTTGGGTGTGGGCAATGTCTGGGGGAAGGTCTGTGAAACAAGCAGGTGTGGTAGCCTCAATGCCTTGCAGGCCCTAGGTGGGCTGGCAAGCCCACTGCTGTACCATGGGAGCAGGAAGGCTATTTTTAGTCATCACAGATCATAGCAACCTCAAACTCTTGGGCTCAAGTGACCCTCTTGCCTCAGTCTCCCAAGTAGCTAGGACTACAGATGCCCACAATGCTTGGCTAATTTGGGGGTCTTGTTCTTGCTCAGGCTGGTGGGGAACTCCTGCACTCAAGTGATTCTCCTGCTTTGGGCTCCCACATACATGATTAGAGGTGTGAGCCAGCATGCTGGGCACACAGCCCAGACTCCCTGCAGTAGGCTTCCTTTCTCTTCTGACTTCTACATCTCACCCCAACCTGAGCCTGTCTCCATTACGTTGCCACAGCTGTGCCCCCTCCCTTGGGACCAGCTTCCCCTTCTCCCCAGTGGAAGCTGGGCTCTCCCTTTCCCTGTATCCTCCAGGGTCCTATGCTGGACTCTACCAACACTGAGAAGGTTTGGTGCCTGCAGGCCAGGGGTCCATGTCCCCACTCTTGGCTGCTGGGAAGCCCTGGGAAGCTGGGCCACCTCTTCTGGCGAGGTGATTCTGGGTCCCTGATGGTTGTGGCTGCTCTGTCCTCTGCTCAGGCCACCATACCACACATCTAGGCACTTCAAAACCCTGGGTTGGCTTTTGGCTGAGTAACAAACTAGCTCCAAATTCAGAGGCTAGAACAGCAGTGTGCTCTGAGGGTTGGTGGTGGGCTGGGCTAGACGGTGCTTCTGCTGGCCTTGCCTGGGTCTCTCCTGTGCCTGTGGTCACCTGGGGTCTGATGGGTCGTAACGACCTTATTCACAGCTGAGGCAGTGAAGTGAGTCATCCCCTGTCCAGGACCCTATAGGCAGTCTGGGCTTGGTCACACGGTAGTCTCAGGCCGCTGGAAGCCCCGGAGAGGACAAGCTCTGCTGGCATCATGCTGTCAGGCTTCTTACCTCCTTGTTGGCCAAAGGACGTCAGGAGGCCAAGCCCAGCTGTCAGGCACAGAGCCCCTCTGCCCTGTGCTGGGGGAAGCCATGGTCATGTGGCAGAGCTATGGGCTCCTGCAGGGGAAGCTGCAGAATAGGAATAGCCTGGCTTTCTTGGTGGTTCATGTGCCAGTGGCAGAGAAAGACAAATTCAGAACCAGGGTGATGTGGCAGAGACAGATTCCTGCTTTGGACTAGGCAGATCTGATGCTGGACTGGGAATGGAGAGAGGGTCTGTGGCTGACCCTCCTCCAGGGAGCCTGGGCTAGGGAGAGACTGGGATGAGAACAGCAGAGGGTGGGCCCTGAAGTAGGAGAGGAAGCACAGGCTTCATCTCCCAGGCTGGGTGGGGTGAGGACCTGGCTGAATATGCCCAGGGGCAAGGTCCCAAGTACTGGTGCAGACATGCCAAGTCTGGATATTTGGATGTGGGAGCCTGAAGGGGAAGACATGGGAATCATAAACATGTGGATGTATCAAACCCCGAAATCTGTAATTTTAAATTTAGTAGCTATGTTAAAAATGTAAAATTAATTTCAATAACACATTTTAATTAGCCCCAAATATTCAAAATATTTAACTTGCAGCACATCTCACTTCAGAGTGGTCACCACTTAGGACTACTACTTACTGTCATGTGGACAGAGCAGCTTGGATATGGGCAGAGAAGCAGCCAGTAAAGGGAGGATGGGTTGGGGGCAGGCAGGGGACCAGGTACCAGGCAGAGCCCTGGAGTTGCCCTGGACAAGGGGCTGCTGGTCAGTCTGCCTCTTGGGCCAGGGCACCAGGAGGGGCAGTACTTTCCAAGAGGGAGGATTCGGGGGGAGTTGGTGTGGAGGGTGGTTGGGGAAGGGGCACCTTGCTGGCTGTAGGCCGAGGCCTCTTCAGGTAGAGCTCAGCAGAGCCTTTCTGGAACGAGGCCTGGTTGGGGTGGGGCAGGGTAGAGCCTAGACCCCAGCCTTAACCCTCAGGGGATGTAGGCCAGAGCATGCAGTTGAGGGGCCTGGGTGTGGCAGGAGGGGCTTGGTGCTAAGACAGGGACTCTAACCCCTGTACCAGGGGATAGTGTTCTGGGGCCACCCCTCACCTGCCCAGCTTCGCCTGCTCGCAGGATGGAGGAGCTGGGCCTGCATCCCGTTGACCGGCAGGTGTACTTTGGACAGCTGCTAGGCATGTGTGATCAGATCAGCTTCCCGCTGGGTGAGCTGGGTGTTCCCTGAGTGGGTGGGTGGGAGTGGGTGGTGGGCTGGGACTCATGCTCTGTGCATGTGTGCAGGCCAGGCGGGCTTCCCCGTGTACAAGTACGTGCCCTATGGCCCTGTGATGGAGGTGCTGCCCTACCTGTCCCGCCGTGCCCTAGAGAACAGCAGCCTGATGAAGGGTGCCCAACGGGAACGGCAGCTGCTATGGAAGGAGCTGAAGCGGCGGCTCCTCACTGGCAGCCTCTTTCACTGCCCAGCCTAGCACCCTGGCCACAGCTACTGCCCTTGGTCTCCACGCACCCTCACTATGTCCTCCCAGCACCCTCATGCTGAGCTGGAACTTGGGGGTGGGGCCTGAGTGGTCCCTAAGCTGTCACCACAGCTGCAGACCAACCTTGTGGATTCCCGTTTACACCCAAGACTTCAGACCTGTGGGAAGGGGGCCTGCCCAGGGTGTGGGCACCCAGCCTGGGCCAAGTCTGATACCTAGCTAAGCCACTATGAACTGTTGGGACTTCCCACCTCTGTGACCCCATGTCTTTGGACCCAGAGGACAGTCTTCTACTGGGGGCCAGCCCACAACCTGAGCCCCTTGGGTGGCCAGTGGCTAGGCTGTGTAGGCCTGCCTGGTCAGTAAACCACTGTTCTTGTAGCCAAGGGCCTTTGACTATTCACTGCGGTGACGTCACATGGGGTCAGCTCTGGGCAACAGGAAGGGGGTGCCTTGGAAAGGGCCCATAGGCTCTGCTCTCTCTGGCACCATCTGTCTCTGGAGGCCAGTCTAATGTAGACTCAGCCACCCAGGATGCTGGACACACCCTATCCCCGACTCCATAATCCAGGAGGGGCTCAGACCAGCATAGACAGGACATGTGTGATGCCCAGGCCAAGCTCCCAGGGTAGGCCCAGTGCAGCTCCAGTGGGCTTCCCCTCAGACCCTTCCTGCTGCCCCAGGGCCTTCACCCCAGTGATACGCTTGGGGCTTCTGTCACTCTGACAGGCCCGGGACCAAGCCCAAGTCAGGTGCCCACTCCCTGTCTCCTCCATGCTTTCCAGCCCCAGGGGAGGCCAGGAGGCTTCCAGTCTCCATAGGGATGAGGATGGTGGTGAAGCTGGGCATATGGCCCGGGAGGGAGCCCCAGGCAGAAGCCTCTGTTATAGCAGGAAGGCATGAGGGGGGCCCCCACACTGCAGGCCATGGACATACACATACCATGTGAGGGTCCTACCTGGCCCCAGTGGCAGGAGAAACCACAGAGCAGTCACACAAACCACAGGCAGACCACAAGGCATCTTTATTTCTCTGAGTCATCTTGGGCTTAGGACTTAAGAGTCCCTTCACAACAGCCAAGGGAAGGTTTGAGCCCAGATTAAGCACTTGGGCCCTATAGGGTCAGGATGTGTCCCTTCGAGTGAGAAAGTGCTAGAACTCCCTCCCTCCTCCCTGCCCAGTCCTGGGAGGCAGTGAGCAGGCTGGGTCTGCCTCCCCTTTCTGAGACCATCCTAGAGTTTAGACAGAAAAACTAAGATAGAAGCAGGTGACAGGCACAGCCAGGGTCCACCAGGCTCTCCTCTGGTAACCCCTGCAGGCAGTTGACAGGGCAGTGGCCAGATGTTAGGAAGACATGTTCCACTCAGTTCCATGCCAGTGGGGCAGGGCTGCCTTCCAGCCATGCTGGGCAGCGGGTGGCTGCAGGGTGCTGTCATAGGGCTGCCTTCCCTGTTTGGCAACCCCTCTGCTGCAGCTTACGGATGAGCTCCAGCAGGTTCATCTGCAGCATCAGCTCCTGGCATGCAGAAGGCCCCATGAGGGCTGCATAGTGGCCAGCCCCCTTCTGCCCTGGCCCAGAGATAGGTGCCAGGGCCAGGGGTGCCAGGCAGTGGGTCCCATGCAGCCTGTGTATGGCCCATCTGAAAGTGGGGGAACCAGGGCCTCTACCCTCAGCTCTTGCCTGGCTTGGTGCACTGGAGTGGCATGCAAGATGGAGCCCTAGAGGGCACAGTGGGCCTGGCTTATCAGGGACCAACAGTAAAACCTAGATGGAACTGGCCTTTGGGGACTAGTGACACTTGAGCTAGGGGCAGGCAGACCTGGGCGCTGACCTGTGGGTTGGTGGTCACGTAGAAGCCTGCCACCCCCGCCTTTTCAAGTGTGCTCTGCTGGTCAGCCACCTTCCGGTCCAGCTCCAGGACAATCTTGCAGTCCATAGCCCGCTGCTCCTCTCTGATCCGGTGCTCCATGGCCTGCCACAATGGGGGAGGGGACAGCTCAGGTTTAGCCCCTGATCAGTGTCCCAAACACATGCTCCTGCCTGCTTCCCCAGCCCCTCCTCATCCCCAGGGGCATTGGGTCCCAGTGCACCCACAAGTACTCAGACACGCCCACCTGTGCCCATCCCTGCTGCTTAGCTAAGGCCTGTAGGGCTCCAGGGGCTCCCTGCACACTGCAGCACCTTATGCATCTCCCAGGCATCTGCATGGCTTGTTGGTTGTTCCTAAGCTCCCTGGGAGAAGGATGGGCCTCTTCCTTGCTGGCTAGCTCTGTCACCCCCCACTGCCCTTGCACCCCTGAGGCTACCAGGCACAATGTGCCTCCTCCCATGTAGAACTGCTGTCCTGTTGAGCAAGAGGCTCACAGGGTTCCTTCACTCCCCACCCAGCTCCCTGGAGGAGCTCAGAACAGCCACCCTGAGCCCTGTGTGCAGGGCCTCTGTAAGCCATGTACCTCCAGTTCCCGCTGCTGGGCTGCCTGGAGCACTGGCAGGCTGTGGGGCCGGCAGACCTGCTGGGCATCCTGGTGCCTCTGCCGCAGTGCCTGCCTGAGCACTGGGAAGAGAAGAGGGCCTGTCAGCAGCCGGTGGGGGTCTGCAGCCCCAGGGGACACCTTGTCCAGTGCCTGACCCCCACCACAGAGCAGCCAGGGCCAAAGGGTGGAGAAGCCCAGTACTGGGAGGCTGGGCACAGTGCCTGCCCTCATCTGGGCCCCTCATACCCCCAGGCTCGCTCACACCCAGGGCAAGGCATTCCAGAAGATGCAGGGCAGGGAACTCTGTTGGGATAGGACCAGAGCTACGCTGGGCTCAGAAGATTGGTGTGAGGGAAGCTGCAGTCTGGAGGCTTCTGGACATAGCCACAGGCCAGCAGTCCTGGGTGTGCCCTGCCCCATCACCCTTGGGACAGCCACTCAAGTGTCCAAGACCACTTGAGGAAAGGCCCGAGAAAGGAGCAGAAGGAGAGGGTCAGTGTGCCAAGTGTGGGCCTTTAGGGTGGACAGACAACCCCCATATCACCTCCTAGCCCCCACATAGCAGCTGGAGGGGGACAGGTAAGCACAGACTGGGAGGCCCAAGACTGGGGTAGGCCTGGGGTATCACTAGCCTACACATGCTCTGTGTAGGGGAACATGGAGCTCTGAGAGGGGCTCACCCTGGGGTCCCTGATGAACTGTGCCATAAGCACCCACATGTACCAACTGTCCAGTCTGACAGGAATAGACACAGGAAGATGGTATCACAGATGAAAAGAAACTACTGTCACAAAACTTGGACAAGTGGTGTCAAATGGCTAGATCTCCCAGGAAGAAGGGGTCCTGGCCATAAGTCCCCCAACACTCTGTTCCTAGAAAGAGACCTCACTTGCAGCTCTTCTCAGGAGGGTCCCTGAGGTTCCCTGCAGGCAGCCTGATACCTATTGTGCCTGCAGCCTTCCCCAATCTCCTGCCTTTTGGCATTCTGTACACATCTGGATGATGGCATTTATCATATTCAATGTCCCTCCTTAGTAGTCCACAGTAGAAGGACAAAAGAGAGAACCCTAAGTTATCTGGTTGCAAGATAAATAAGGAGAGGCAGGGTGCAAGGAAACAAATGCAGGGAAATGGGTTTCCTTCACTCTATTCATCAAAAGTTGCTGCAAGGCCCAAGTTGACTGCCAGGTTCCACTGGGTAGGCAGCCAAATGCTAAGAAAAGAACTGTTCCAGCTCCCTGGGCACAAAGGGCTTGGCCTGAGTAATGACCAAGGAATGCAAAGAAGGTGGCAGAAGCCAATCACCTGCTAAATCACCGGGAAAAGCAGAGAGATGCCAGTGGCACCAGGACCTGACCTGAGCCTCTTGAAGGACAAACAGCAAAGGGTCTAGAACTACCAAAGACTCCCCCACTAAGGGGAACCAGGGCTGCCTGGAGAAATGGCCAATTCCACAACCAAGGTAGAGAAAGAATGCACAAGGGAAGCACCTTCCCTTACCAGAAAGCAGGAGGTGCTCAAAGAAGGATGGCAACCAACCTGAAGTCCCCCTGCTGGCCCAACACAGCAGAGAATGAGCACTAAAAAGAATACGGGCTGCCTCCTTCAGGTCTGTAAGCCATGAACATCTTATACCTCAGCAGAAATGTAGAAAAAGACAATCGCCTAAACACTGGTGTAAGTAGTAACAGCAATTCTACACACACTCTTCTCGAAAACTGAAGAGAACACTTCCTGACTTGTCCTGTGAGGCCAGCAGTACCCTGATACCCAAATCTGACTAAGATTTTACAAGAAAACTACAGACCAACATCTGTCATGAACAAAGAGAAAAAAATTCTTAACAAGATCTTAGCAAATAAAATCCAGCATATATAAAAAGGATAATATATCATCACCAAGTAGGATGGGAGACAAGTCTTTGTAATTCACCACAGTAACAGAAATGATGATTCACTGTAATCACCTCAACAGATGCAGAAAAAGGATCTGATAAAATCCAGCATCCACTCCTAAGAGAAACACCCTAATCCTGGGACAGATGGATGTTGCTTGCCCTCTAGAGAAGGGGCCTGGCATCTTGAGAAATTTTTTTGACATTCAACCTGCATCTAATCAGGCTCTTACCCATTGCCCAATTTACAGAAAACAGGGGTGGAGAACCAGGTTAGATGACAGCACCAGTGAGCAGTCTGAGAGATCCAGATCGGGGACATTCTACAGATAGAATGAATGCCTGGACTCCTGAAAAAGTCAACGCCACAGTAAATGCTGAGGACTGTTCCAGAAGTGAGACCAAAGTGTGTAACTGCAATGCATGAACCTATATAGGGTCCTTTGGCCCTGCATTGAGGGTCAGGAGACGCCCTGGAATATTTCTCAGGAGGCTACCCTCTGTGGCTGTGGTGTGTTCTTGTTCTAGAACACTCACAATCTAAGGCCAAGAGTGACCCCAGGGTTGTCTGGAGTGGGTTTTGGTTGTCATGACTAGGGGAAGGTGCCATTGTCATCCGGCAGTGCACAAGACAGTGTCTCACTATAAAGACTCATCCAGCTGAAGATGTCAACAGTGTGGGGAGTGAGGCGCTGAAAACCCTGGTATGGAGGAATGCTGAGGACTCCTGCTGAAGTTGCATGTATTTAGGGATAGAAAGGACTTTTGCAAAATGTTAATTATTCAATCTTGAGAGCACAAGGTATTCATTATCTCATTCCTTCAACTTTCCTAAATGTTTTGACTTTTTTTTTTTTTTTTTGATATAGGAGCCTCAAGTTCTTCCCCTGGATAGAGTGCTGTGGCATCACAGCTCACAGCAACCTCCAACTCCTGGGCTCAAGCGAGTCTCCTGCCTCAGCCTCCTGAGTAGCTGGGACCACCCAGCTATTTTTTAGTTGCAGCTGTCATTGTTGTTTGGCGGGCCTGGGCTGGATTTGAACCCGCCACCTTGGGTGTACCTGGCTGGCACCTTAGCCACTTGAGCCACAGGCGCCGAGCCAATGTTTCAACTTTTAAAATAAGTGAAAAACAAAATAAACGTGGAAATCTGATAATGCAGGGGGAGATTTCCCCAATAATCTGCAGGAAGGAAGCTCCCTCCTAGTGGGGAATGTCCCAGAGGGGCTAACCCTAGTGCTACAGTAGAACTCTTTAGTACAGGAGAGTGCAACAGGACGGTTTTCAAGAATGTGATGTGCAGCTGGTGGGGTGCCATGAGAGGGATCTGATCCTAAAGGGTGATGCCAGACACAGAGCTGTCAAAAGACCATAGGGGCAGGGCACTTCTGTCAAAGGCCACCACAGGGTCTGCCTGTGGGCGGGCCAAACACCGATGCCTTGTGCCATCCCGCCTGGAAGGGGATGGGGACACAGGGAAGCCTGAACAGGGAGTTTTGGATGTCAAGCCAAGAGTGGGACTGTGCAAAGATAAAATGATAGTGTTTCAGCTCATCTGTTACCAAAAAGAAACAAACAAAAACACTCGGGAAGGCGTTGCGCCCTTGATCTGGTCAGCCTTAGGGACCTCTTCCCAGCAACGTTCAGGGAAGGGCCCGGCCTGCGCGCCGACCCGTCGCGCCCGCGCACCTCGGTGCTCGTTCTGCAGGCGCAGGCGCTGGTTGTAAAGGCTCTTCTCGGTGAGATGCTGAATCTCCAGCAGCCCCTGCACAATCTCGAACACCGTGCCGTCGAGAAGTGCCAGGGCCAGGTCGCTGAGCGTGGTGTAGGACAGGCGCTGCTGGAAGGAACTGCGGGTAGGACGGCGCGGTGAGCGCGGGCCGCCCGAGTCCAACTAGGCCCGCCGCCTGCCCGCCCCTCCCCTCTCGCGTACCTGGGCAACTCCTTGACTAGGCTCTGCAGCGCCGAAAGCAGCTGGTAGTGCCGCTCCTGCTGCCGGGCCCCGTCCCCCGCCTCCTCCAATGCACCGGCATACCGCTCCATGGCGCCCGCCCGCCACCCGCTGCACGGCACGCCCCGCCCCCTTACGCCAGGCTCTCTGCGGCGCCCCGCCCTGTTAACTACAGTTCTGAGCGCCACTCAACCCGGCTCATTTGTACGTCTTTCCGCCCGCCGGTTCGCCCTTTCCGCCAAGCGCAGAGCTTCGTGCGTCATTCAGAGCGGAGCTCCCAACAGCCCTTCGCGGAGGCCTCCAAGGAATTACCTCCTAGCCCTACGCCTACCTTGTTTCTCCTTCCGCGCAACTTTAAGACCAGACTCCATCGCCTCGATATCGCGGGATTTAAAAAAGACATTGCCCACCGCGCGCGCACACACACATACACGCCCGCACCAAGCCTGAGCGGACGGCCCCCTGGACCCGCACTGGAGCGCTCCCGAGTGGGGCTCTGTGGGCCCTGTCCGCCCACAGTTCCACTGAGGAGCGGTTCACGGGCTGCTCACTGTCTAAGCCTAGTACTGGGGGGCACTGTGTCCTGCGAGTTGGGACGCTGACGCTGGCAAAGGACAACATCTGGAGCTGCTTGGCCAGGACGGTTGGGCACTGAGTCCCCATCTGAGGCTGCCGTGATCACCTAGTGCTTCTCACACCACATGCTAGACCCTGAAGCCAGACTGCATGCTCCCAGTTCCTCCTATGCCCTAGGTACCCCCACCAGCTGGGTGCCCGTGCCTGCTGTTTTGCTGGGCGTTGAGGGTCCCACCCTGAGGGGCTTCTAGCTGGCTGGAGTTGATCTAGCTATAAACAGGCGGGGTTCTGGTGGAAAGAACGGCTGGTGCAAAGTCCTGCTGACAATCAGGGCCAGGGCCACACGTTACAGAGGCTGTGAGGAGCTTTTTCTCAGAGCAGTGGGAAGCTCCGAAGGGTTTGGGGGCACAGACCCAACCTGATTTGCGTTTCACAAGACACTCTTTAGCTGCCGTGCTGATTGGGGGGACTGTGTTAGGTGACCTTGCTTCCACTAGGAGAGGTTGACAAAGGGAGTTGGACGGGTTCTCAAGCTACGTGGGGTCACGCTGACGTTCTCTGTGGTCTCCAGTTGCCTCCAGGAGTCTTATTTCGTCAGTAGCCAGAGCTGGCTGCTGTCCGTGCCCCAGTGTCCCTGTGATCCCTTCTGACCAGAAACCGGGAATGAATAATGACAAGTGCTCAGGCCATTGCCATGGTGTATGGAGGGTGGCCACCACCCAGAACCAGAAACACCTACCTTGCAAGTCCCCTGGGAGGGGGCACCCTGATGTGTGACTCTGGAGCTTGTGGGGGCAAAGCCTGCAGAGGTGGCGGTGGGGGGATGCTGCAGGAGCCAGCTGGGGGCCTGTGGGTGGGCTACCAGCAGCTGGGTGGAGACACCCGTCTGAGGACTTTGACTCTGGGTGCACCTTTCACTTGTACCCTCTGCTTTCAACCCCTCTGTCGGCAAAGGGCATCTGTGTTAAAACCGGTGTGTGCTGTGAAGCCCGGTGCGATAAGGATATGTTCTGTGGCCAGCTGGTGACAGGAAGGCCCTGTTACATTGTCTTGTCTAACCTGAACTAGCTTCCCCACCCCCACCCCAGCAACACCCCTCCCTTGTGTGAATTGACATTCAAACTTAAAGAAAGAAACGGAGGCAAAATTAACGTAGAGAGTTTACTTGGGCCAAGGATGAGGACAGCTGTCCAGGACACAATTTCACATTGCCTAGAATGCTCCAACTGGCCTTTGACACAGCAGGTTTTTCCAGGCAAAGAGGGACAAGGAATGGGCTGATACAAAGTTGTTGGACAGGAATTCTTATTGGCTTACAGAGTTAGCATTGATTAGCAATTGGATATACTTTGTTGAGCTATAGTTTATGCCCTAACTCCATCTTGCTAAGGGCTTTCCACACTCCCCCTTTAAAATAGGAAGCTCAGCTGAAAGAGTTTAGTAATAACTGCAAAATCCTGTGAAACCCCAGCTTCCCCTGGTAGGCACTCTCTTTACCAGGCGTTGGCTCTTGTGAAATTTGGCTTGCGTTAAGGACTCCCCCCTCCCCTACCAAAAGCTCCTTATAAAAGCTTTTCCCCTGCTTCTAGGGGTTGAGAGACTTTGAGGCATAAGCCTGCTCTCAGACCAGCCAATCAGTAAAGGACCCTTGCTTAATTTGGACTCAGTGTGCTGGCGTTTGTCTATTCCACTGTTTCGGGTGTAAAAATAGGGTATGAATTATGGTGTTCAGTGTATGGCATTTTATGGCTACTTGGCATCAGTTAGCCTACAGCCCACGTAGCCAATGGCTTCAAGAGGTAATTATTTAGCTCAAAGAGGCAGTGAGATGTGACTGCTTTTGCATTCCTGTGCCTCTTTAGGCCTAATTAAAGGGGGCTCCCATTCCTTAAATAAAAGATGTCTTATTGACACAGACAATGGGTTACTCAGGCATGGGAATTCCTAGGCCACCTCTGGGTCACTGGGAAGGGCCTGATATGGAAGGAAGAGCACCAGGGATAGGTGGCATGGGCACTGTCTCCCTGGGAGGTGTGCTCCAGAATGAGGCACTGGCATGCAGAAGTGCAGTGGGGGTGCATGTCCCCTGGATGGTGGGCATGGTAAGGCCACTTGGCAGGCTGAGTTGGGAGGTGGCCACTGTGGGCCTTTACTCTGCAGCCACTGTCTACCTAGTCCATCTCCACTTGGCTCTCCAAGTCCTCCAAGCTGTTTTGTGACACCTCAGGCTGGTGTGTGGTGACTAGTGTATGCCCTGTCTCTGAGTGTGGCTGGGTAAGCAGAGCTGAGCCTGTGTTATGAAGGGGTGGGGGTGGGGCCTGTGTGTGTGTCTGGTGCTTCACTGGGTGGGCCTGTGTTTGAGTGTTGGGTATCCCTCTTCATGTTTCTGTATATGTGGTGAAGCAGTTGTGCCGTGGAGCCCAGCTGGATACTCATGGGCCATGCAATGGTATGTGCCACAGCTGCTGTGAGTCTTGGCAGCGTGCCTGTGCTTCTCCCAGGACACCAGACTGTTCCAAGCCCAACCCTGAGACCCTCTCTGTCTCATGAGACAGTTTCCCATCACCTCCTGCCCCAGTTCTGATGAGGTATGAAGCTCTCTGCCACCCAATCTCCAAAAACTGGACCCACAACTCCATTGGTCCCTCATGCCCACTGGTTTGAGGAAAATCCTTCTCAGTCACCCACAATTAAGGTTCATTACAGTGCTGAAGGACCTGAGGATTAATCTTCCTGGCTTTGAGCCCCTCACAGCCTGGATCTTTGACTGCAGGGTCACTACCCTGTGATGAACAGCCTCTCCAGATAGCCTTTTGTCCTAAATATGGCATACAGGCATTGCTTGCAGCTTCTGCCAGGTTCATGGTTATCACTGTCCTCTCCCTATGAGAGTGGCAACTTCAGGGCACCACAGTCATGACCCTGGAACAGCAGGATGTGGTCTGCTATGCAGCCCAGACTCTGCCTTGAATCCTCTCACAAGGTGGCTTTAGGAAGATCCTTGGCCAGGAGAGTGACGCCAGCTGTCTTGCTTCTGAAATAGCTACCTGGGAAGGCATGATAGTGGCTGGATAGCAATGAAAATTATCAGGAACGAAGGATATAACAATGCTAACGGGCTCATTCTCAAAAAGACATGACAGACTTGAATGGATAAGGAGTTGCTTCTTGTGGGTGAACAAAGAAAGTAGGGTGCTTTTTTTTTTTAAAGATGGAATCTACCCTTGATGAAGATGCTCTGAACATTGTTGAAAGGACATCAGATTTAGAATAGTACATAAATTTAGTGATATAGCAGAAGCAGGGTTTGAGAGGATTGACTTCCATTTTGAAAGAGTTCTGTGGGTACAATGCTGTCAAAAAGCACAGCATGCTACAGAAAAATCTTTTGTGAGGAAGAGTCAACCAATGTGGCAAACTTCATTATTGTCTTATTTTCAGAAATTACCACAGCCACCCCAACACTCAGCAACCACCATCCTGATCAATGAGCAGCCGATAGCTTCTAGAGCCTCCACCAGCAAAAGATTAGGACTAGCTGAGGGCTCAGATGATTGTTAGCATTTTTGTTTAGCAATAAAGAATTTTTAAATTAAAGTATGTACATTTTTTGACATCATGCTATTACACACTTAATAGACTGAAGGGTAGTGTTAACATAAATTTATATGCACTGGGAATGTGTGTGACTGACTTTATTTCAACATTTTCTTTTATTGTGGTGGTCTTCCACATCTCCGAAGAATGCCTTCATTTTGTTCTGATTTGTGTCAGATCAGAATGATCTATCATTTTGTCCTCTTAAGACAATCTTTCATAGAGCCCCGGATTTCTAATTTTGATGAATTCTGATTTATCCATTTTTTTATGGGTCATTCTTTTGGTATCAAATCTAAAACCTTTGTCTAGCTTTAGGTCCCAATTTTTCTTTTAGAACATTTCCCTAAAGTTGAATAAAGTTTTATGTCTTACATTTAAATAGGAGCCCAATTTCCAGTTAATGTTTGTATGAGTGAAGTGACAGCATATTTCATTTAACAGTTCTTCACAACATTCACCTTATTTCAAAAACCTCACAAACATTGCATTGTATGAGTGTGCTGGGATTTTTTTTTTTAACTGACTACTGTTAAGGACTATTATTTTAGTCATTAGTTCATCATTTGCATACTCGTGCTGTATCAATGATAAATCTTGTTTGGACTTTACATGGTCAAGTTTCTTAATCCTTTCCTGATAGCTCCTGGGCTTCGTTTTGTGATTTAGCGAGACCTCCACGCCGAAATAATGGAATAAAAAGTGACACTTCCACCTCTGCCCACATTAATAGGTTTACTGGTTCAAGCTGGATTCCTTCGGGTGTGTATTTGGTACAGCGGTGCAGTCTGGGCTTGACTCGCTAGAACCTGCCGGCGCAGCCCAGGAGTCGTGCGGAGAGTCTGTTCTCCGCAGCCGTCCTTCGCGGGAACGGTGGTCGCAGGGATCTCACAAAAAATTATCTAAGTGCCCTTCTGCTGCACCGGCCGCACCTGCCTGGCGTTGCCTGGGGCGGGGCCGGGGCGGGGATGCTGGATCCTCTCCCGAGGTCCCCTGGGCTCTTCTCCAACTCGGTGGAATCCAG